GCCGCTCCGGAGCCTAACTGGTTCCTCTCAAACCCCACTGATCCTTGTCCAGTCCTCAGGCACTGTGGCCCTCCCAGCCTATCTGTGCCCCTAGGGCAGTAATTGCCTTAAGGGTTAATTTCATGGTTTCTGACGTCCCCTACAGCCTTGCAGGTATTAAGTCATCTCATCACTTAAGTGGGGCACTTTGCCCCAAATCAGTGCCAGGCCACCTCTGGCCTCTACTCCCTTGTTCTGGTTCAGCATTCTCTGATTTTGCCCCTCTGCTCTAGCTGGCCCCTTATCCTAGGCCCTGGACATGGCTTCTAGATTCTAGCCTAGGTCTCACCCTCTTGGGCTATGGTTTTGTCCCCCACAGTTTTATGCCTCTGGCTCTGGTTCTCACCCCTCTTGAGCTAAGGTATCACCCCCTCTCTCCCCCTGTTGGGCTTTGGGCCCCTGGCCCTTGTCCTTACCCTTCTTGGGTTAAGGTTTTGCCTCTCTCAGGCTTTGGGCCCTTGGCTCTGGTTCTCACCCTCTTGGGTTATGCCTTAGCCAGCTTAGGCTTCAACTCTCCCCAGCTGCCATCTGTTAGTGCCTTGAGCTTGGCCCCTGGCAAGGCTCAAAGCAGTCACATGCCCCTGAGGTACCACCGGGACCTCCTTTACCCCTGATGGTCCCAACTCAGACTGATTGTTTAACTTAAATGCAAATGGTGGGCAACCACTTAATGCAAACTTTCCGTTCCGGGAAAACAAACATCATAAAAGAAAAATGCATGCTACCACTTTAAAAGGAAACCTCCTCCCCTAGGGTAGATGAACACCAGCATAGCCCTGACCCTGGGCTTTTACTGCCCTCTGTCCCAGGCTGGTTCAGGGTCCTTCAGGTAGTTCCCGTTCCCATTCCCTCTCCCTCCTGGGAACTCTTCACTGGGGCTCTGAACTTCTATGCCTCTTAAGCGCTGTTCCTGTCAGTCAGGTGGCAATCATCAAGCCTGATTGGAAACCTACAGGGATTTTCAATTAGGCTTGGTGATTGACCTCCAAGACAGCTTGCCTATGCTGGGCTAGCTGCTGCAGCAGTATCCCCTGCTGCCCAGGCAGGGCTCTGCCCTACTTGACCTGTTGCAGAGGAGCTAGCCCTGCAGGAGGCACTCATAGCCTCTACCCCCTGGCTACCCATTCCCCTGTAGCCAGCTCAAGGGCAGTGTTTCCCTCCATCTGGGGAACTCTGCTGCTGTTTTTCCCTTAAAGTAATGGGGAGCCGCTCCGCTGTTACACCCACCAAAATCTAAACATGTTCAACTGGTAGCCCAAAAAGAAGCACATTTCATTTCTGGTTCTTTTTATGAAAAGGTAACAATTTCTGCAGAAAGCCTTTACATAAATTGAATTTCCAAATTTTCATTGAAATTCTCTCCAGAAACCCCTGCCCTCATTAGCTTTGATAGCAGCACCTGGAGGCGCTGACCCCAAGAAGACCCATTGTTTGCACTATAGAAGTCTATTTTAACATTTCCAATTAATCTAGGTTAATGATAAGATGTAGCTGACTGATGTAGGTTAATGATAAGATGTAGCTTAAGGATGAGGTATCAATACCAACATACTTTTGCATAAACTAACTGTATGACTAGTGTAGATCTGTATCGATTTTGGACATTCCTAAGGCTTTATCTGTCATTTGAAGCTTTTACACTTCATCTAGAGAAAGTCTTACCTATATGAACTGCATGCAATTTATAAGTGAAATAATACTGTAAATATTTTAGTGGAAGTCATTTAGAAAGTAATTCAGTTTTTCTTGAGTTACATACTACTACTATTGTTTATTTTCTGGGCCAGAACAAAAATTGCTAACAAACAGGAAAATTAGGAAATCCAAAACTTAATTAAACAGAATAACAGAGTTAATAAATGTGGCATATTTCTAAACCTGTGCATCTTGGGTACAAAGCAAAATAAATATGATTACAGAAAAGAAATAAATTTTTAGGGTGAAATCCCGTTTTCCTTGAAGCCAGTATTCACCATTTAAAAGGTGATCCACATCAAGGAATTGAAGCTGTATACCTTTTTATCCATCAGAAAGTGCTTGAAGGTTGGCTTCTAGCGAGGATAATTGAAAAGCAGGCTTTTGGACAAGTGAACATACTTTCACGTAACTTTACAAATCTGGCTTTCTGTAATGGAATCTACAGGTACTGCACACAACCGTAGTCCTGTAGTTTAATTTTTTCCTGTTACTCTGTCTTTCTTTTTCATCTCCCCCCACCCCCACTTCTAAATGCTATAACATATGTCCTTAAATTGGTGGATTGCAGTTTTGTCAGAGAAGAAACATAAATTTATCACATTCTTTTTCAAATTGCATGTTCCTTGATCAGACTTGCGCTTATGGGATCTTTGTTTCAGAAAGGACATTTTAATATTAAAAAGCTTCTGTTGTAGACTCAAAAGTTGGTTCTTTCTTATGCCAATTACTGAATGACTGCTAGAATTAGGATCATGTCTGACTAATCCATTCTAGCCAAGTGTCTGTCCAGTGTGCTCTTGAACTTTTCCAGGGATGGAGATTCCAGTTTCTCCAGGTAGCCTGTTACAGTGCTTGACCACCACCTTAGTCAGAGAGTTCCTCCTAACCTCCAACCTAAATTTCCTCTCCTGCAGCCTGAAGGCACTGCTGTCCCCTACAGCCCGAGAAAAGCCCATCTCCATCCTCTCTTTAATTAACCTCCAGACATTTGAAGACTTATCCAGTCCCCCCACCTCTCAGTCTTGTCTTCTCTTCTCCAGGCTAAACATCCTCAGCCTTTCCTCATAAGTTATGTTTTGGAGGCCTTTAATCATTTTTGTCACTGTGCTGGACTCTTTCCAATTCTGCCCATGTCCTTCCTGAAGTGTAGGGCCCAAAACTGGACATGGTACTCCAGGTGAGGGTCTCAGGAGCACTGACTAGAACAGAAGAATCAGTTCCTTTGATTTGAAAGTGACACTCTTGTTAATACAACCCAGTATGCTGTTGAGTTTTTTTTACAACAAGAGCACACTGTTAGTTTATATTCAGGTCATGGTCTACTGCAGGGGTGGCCAAAATACAGCCTGCAGGCTGGATCCAGCCTGTGGAGGAACTTTGTCCAGCCTGCATCAGGTCTCTTGGTCTTGCCTGGCCCAGATATTTGGCATGGTGATTCCTGTCTCAGGGTGTGCAGTGGGGCTAGGGCAACTTTGCAGCTGTACTCCATTTCCTGGCAGTGGTGGCTCCTTCTGGCTGCTGCTGCTGGCCCCAGCCCCATGGAGACCAGCCAGAACCTGTGTAGGCAGGGCCCAAGCTGAGTGCACAGCTCCAGTCCATGCAGGAGTCGGAGTCCCACCTGCCACAGTGGTGGTGGAGGAAAAAGCGGTATCCAGAGCCTTTTGGCTCCTCCCTGCTGCTCTGCTGGGTGCAGAAGCCCAGCACAGCCTGGTGGTGGCACTGGTGGCAGCAGTAGGGAGGAGCCACAGGGTAGCCTTGGCATGGACTCCAGGTTCTGTTTTGTTTTTGTTGTTGTTGTTGTTGTTTTTCCCTCCACCACTGGTGCCTGTCATTGTGGCTGGGGCAGGCAAGTCTGGAGTGGGCTCTGCAGGAACTCCCTACCCTCTGTGCAGAGTAGGCCAGGGCTGGGGCTGTGTGCTCAGCCTGGGGCTCAGGCTTTGCCCACACAGATTCCAGCATGTCTCTGTGGAGCTGGGGCTAGTGGCAGCAGCAGCTGGAAGAAGCCATTGCTGAAGCCAGGCTGAGTGCACAGCCTTGGCTCAGGGTCCCTGCACCACCCGCTCCATACCTGTCTACCCCCAGCCATGATGAGCAGTGGCAGTGGGGAAAAAGCGGGACCCAGAGCCTGTGCCAGGGCAGCCCTGCCTGTGCCTACCTACCACTGCCACCATCAGTGCCCATGCCAGCTCATCTGTGCCCATGCCAACTCCACCCACCTGCTGCCCCATCCCACATAGGGAGGTTTGGTGAGCTGTGGCTGAGGTCAGCACCCCCCATGCAACAACAGCTCCCTAAAACTCCCTATGTGGCCTGCAGGCCCAAATAGTTGCCTACCCTTGGCCTATTGTAACCACCAGGCCTTTCTCGACAGTATCATAGCCTCGCCAATCATTCTCCAGTCCCTATTTGTGCATGCAATTATTCCATCCCAAATACAGGGTTTTTCACTTGTTCATGCTGAATTTCATTTGGTTGACTGTGAACCACTACTTTTTTTTTCTCCTCCAGTCTGTCCAGGTCATTCTGGATCTTGACTATCCAGAATGTCTGCAACTTCACCCATATGGGTGTTGTTCACATATTTGCCAAACATGCACTCAATCCCATCAACCACATCCTTAATGAAGTTATTTAAGCAATACTGGACCCAGGTCAGATGCTTCAGGAACTTGATACCTGTTCCCAACTAGACATTGAGCCATTGATGATTACTTGTTGTGTACGACTGTTCAGTCAATTACGTTTCTGCCTTGCAGTACTTCCATGTAGCCTGTATTTCCTTAGCTTGTTAACAAGAATGTTGTGGGTGTCAAAAGCCTTGCTAAAGTTCAGGTATGTTGCATCAACTGCTCTCCTTCCATCTAGTCTGTCACCTTATCCTAAAAGAAAATCAGGCTGGCCAAGAAGCATTTGGTCTTGGTGAATTCATATTGGCTGTTCCTAATCACTTTTTTTTCTCCTCTAGGTGCTTCATAATACATTCTTTGAGGACCCTCTTCATAATCTTTCCAGATATTGATGCCAGGCTGATCAGTCTGTAATTTCCTGGATCCTCCTCCTCTTTTTAAGAGAGAGGCACTATTTGCCTTTCAATCATCTGGGACCTCACCTGCCCTTCACAAGCCCTCAAAAGAGGATAGCCAGTATCTCTGAAATTAACTCAGCCAATTTCTTTGGTCTCTTATATGCCCTTTTAATTGGAAAGAAATAGCTAAATAAAGCCTTTTTATTTTCTGATCACATTGTTATATCATACATTCTGCTCTGCTGTAAGAATTTCACCCATTATCCCTGGGTATCTGCAGATTTTTAAATGGGTCACTTCAGCTTTCTGTTCCTGGTAATACAGAGAATTTTAGTACAAGCACTAACTTAAAGCAAGGAGATTTATATTTCTGTAAAAATTGTGAAACATGTTTTCTCAAATAGATCTCTTGATCTAAGTTTATTATTGCTTGCATTCCTATCATGTGCTGCAACTATGGTTGCATATACACATTCAAATCATCCAGGACAACTTTTTCAGGTTTGTTTTCTGAGAGAAAAACTGGCCTGTACAGAAGTTGAGAAGGAAATAAAGAGCCTGCAGTGCAGATGCTGGACTGCTAGGGATCCCTAGCACGCAGCCCAGGGACCTTTTACAGGCTTTTTTTAGTGAAGGGAAGCAGGGATTGTGGGAGTGGGGTCTGTGCCATTTATAGAAGAGTCCTCCAACCTTCCCTGAGCCCAGCTAAGGCTGGACAGGGTGTATGCTTGTATACTTCCCTGCACCCAAGTACTGAAGTTCTCTATCCTGCGAGAGATTCTCCAGGAAGCCACTTCACTCAGGCTTTTCCCAAGTTTATTTTTCTCCCAGGGTGGCCATTTTTTAACTCTAGGAGAAAAATTATGAACTTCTGTACACTTGTAGCTCTCCAGAGAGAGCAGAGACTGGAGAAACTGAATGTCTGTCCATGCCCAAAGATGGGAAACTAATTAAAAAAATGAGTAATCAGTGCATTGCATTTCAGTTTCTGTGCGTTAATAGCCAAGATACTTGCATCTTTACCTAGTAATCAAATTGTTGTGATACAAATAAACATTTTTCTTCAGTAAGCCTGTGTGATAAAGTAGTGGACTGAACTTGTACTAAAATGCTGTTAAATGTTATGCTGGAGGTTTGGTCACCAGCTATTCAGTCTTGTTCCAAACTTTCAAATCCTATAGAAAACACTTTAGGCACACCTATATATGTTAATCTGCAGTAGGCTTACTGCACAGTAAGCCTCCCCTGGGAACACGTCTATACATGCTCCCTGTTGGGAGCAGATTTGCTCCAAATGGGAGCAGCCTGGTACAGGGTTGCTCCCGCCTGGCTCTGCTCCCCAACAGCAGCCAAGGGAGCTCCAGGCTCCCTCGGGGCTGGCAAGGGGAAGAGGGCTGGTTGGAGTGGACACAGGGCCAGGAGAGCTCTGCTGGCTGCAGCAGCAGCTGTCCCCTGGCCCTCTACGTATCAGGAGGGGAGACCTCATGTATGCTGGGCCGAGATGGCTACTCTTGCAGTGGGCAGAGCTCTCCTGGCCCCGTGCCTGTCGGGACACACAGGTGTTCATCAGGACACAGCTGCTAGCAAGCCCCCTACTGAGCAGGGCTTTCCTGCCTGGCAGGGAGTTTGCTGGGAGCTGTCCCAGGTGTGGGGCAGCTGCCGGCAAGCCTTCTGCTGAGGAGGGGTCCAGAGGCTTGCTGGCAGCTGCCTTGCTTGGTCTGGAAGTGGCTGTTCTGGGGAGTGGGCAGGGGCTGGGAACCACACAGTTCTGCACCACACTGAATTGATCCAGGAGATGGGCAGGGGCTGGGTTTCCAGCCCCCACTTGCCCTTGAGCTGCCAGCTCCATGGTGGGAGCCAGGACGGGGCAGAGAACTTCCCAGTCCTGGTGCTAATGGGCTTCCAGCTTCTGCGGGGAGCCAGGAGCTGAGGTGTTCCAGGACTAGGGACAGAGGTCCCTGTTCCCTGTGGCTCCCTGCTGCCTAGGCTGACCAGGAACAAATTTGCTCCCAGTCAGCATCTAGAAGAGTGTTACTGCGCTGTGGCTACTACCCAGTTAATCTGCTACTACCTAGCTAACTGCACAATCAATGGTGCACATGTGTAGATGGTGATACTTTACTGCACAGTAAAGCTTCTCATGTAGATGTGCCCTTTGGGGAATTGTAGATTGTGCTGAGTTTTTGAAATGGTATGTAGAAAATGTATTAATGGTAAGCTACATTATAGATAAACATTCTTTCAGGTACCCCAACAATCAGTGTAAGAATACTGTTTGAGGTGAGGATTTTCAAGTCAGTGAGAGCTACTAGAGAGTTAACTGTTTTTAAAAACAAGTTTATTCAGGATCCAGTTTTAAGCACCCATATTTCAAAATCTTGTTCATAGACTACCTCTATCTATCTATCTATCTATCTACCTATTAGTACTGCTCTCATTATGCAAATAGGGGAAATGAAATTCAGGAGGTTGCAGCTGAACCAGCATCCCAGAGTGCAGTTTGTTAGAGGTGTTAATAGAACCCAGAACCTTCTTTCCAGTCATTCAGTCCACTAGATAGCATCCTCCTTTATAACTATTAGAAAAGTGAAAGTTTTTCCTGCCTTTGAAAACAAGCCTGAACCATAGTAATTAAAATTAATTCTGCTTGCTAACCAAAATCTTTCTCTTTATTTTTTTTCTCCACAAAGCCTTTTCTTCCTCTTGTGAATCTCCATTGTTCACCAAATGTGCACACATTTCTGTGCAAAGCATTTGTGCCTGCCTGTGTGGAGCCAGTTCATGTGATTCAACCTTGTCGAAGCCTTTGTGAGAGAGTGTATTCTGATTGTAAACAATTGATGGACACTTTTGGGATCATCTGGCCTGAGGAACTTGAATGTGACAGGTATAGTTTCTATATCTGATGGATAATAAGGATGACATTTTTTCATACCCACCACATCTGACACTTAGCTGAACTGAAAATCCAGGATGGAAAATGTGCTAGGTATACATCTTGGTCTAATTTCCACAGCAGTGAGGACTCTGGGGCTTGTATGAGCAGGGCAAAATTTTATTGAGAAACTTTATGCAATTATTTTTTCTAGATTTCCTGCTGAATTTGTTTGCAGATGGAAGAAGGTTTTACAATTTGGCTAACTTTAAAATATTTTAATTTGTGTTCAAATCATTGAAACTGTTTCCAATCTAACTTTTATTTTGTCTTGAAGTGCAAAATGCTTAAAGCATATTGTCTATTTTCTTCCTTATCTGTAAACTCAGGATAATACTTACCTACTTCAGCAAGGTTTTACATTATATACTGTTATGAAATATAAAGCACTTCCTGTAGGAACCCACAGCACCATTTTAGGTAGCAGATGCCTTTTATTTTAATCTTAACCACTTATGTGAGGATTAATTTTATCAGTTTGCTTTCCTATGCTGTGTATCAAGAGTCAGTATTTCATGAAGAACCAGATCCAAATCATTCTTGCACATGTCTCCATTTTGGCACTGCAGTACCTAAAAATAAATAAGTAAATAAAAATGGTGCCTTGCCCCAGGATGATCCAGGTCAGGAGCTTGCAAACCATGAACCAAACCCTTTTTAAATTGCGTATAGCTATAGGGGAGAAGCCAGTTAGTACACTCAAGTGGAGGGTGTGGTACCCAGGAACATAAAAGGGTAAATGCTCTCTGAAGGGTCTGCTGCAATCCTCATGCTTTACTTTATTTCACAGCCTTTTCCCTGATACTCTGCAGTGCCGCAAACAATCTCTTAGAATTTTTTTTGCAGAACTAGCTGTTTTTATACCCTGTGAATATTGGCTATATTCTCTCGATTCACTGTCTCAGTTAGTTATTCTACTATTGACAGTAGTGACTAAATACTAATGCAGCTTCTATTCCTGCCTAAGGTGAGTTGATTAGTTTCAAGTTCTGCATACAAAGAAGTTTGTATCACAGAAGCGCTCTTTAGAGTTAACAGTTTAGGACATGCTTGGTATCCTTAGAAGATGGGCCAGACTGGATGAGCTTGGAGGTTAATCAGAGTAAACTGCATCAGAGAGACCCCCAATATTAGACCATAAAAGGTGTTTGAAATGACTTGAGAAAAAAAAAAGTACTTTGATAAGAGAGCTTGTACTGTTGGTTGACCTACTGTTTCTGCATCATAACTAAAGAGTTGGCCTCTAGAATTCTCTAATCCAGCCAAATGTAACCTGTATGATATTGCATGAGAAGCAAAGACCACAAGATCAGTTTGTACTGGTGGAAGGGGGAATACTTTTAAACGGAGCATATTTATTACCAATATTGCTGAGAGATCATGAACGTGGAACTACATGATGACATTTTTACAGAAGCAGTCCTCATCTATTCTCATTTGAAGAGTTAGAGGATAGAATTATTAGGCCCCTTCTACATGTTATACTTACACTGCAATTAATGTGTTAATTGAAGCATAAATGGCAAGAGTGCTATAAGGGCACCCAATTTAAAACAGTATAAAGTGGAAAGCCAGCCATAAAAAACGTTTTATGTAATGCTGGGCCAGACCATTTTTATGGCTAGTTTGTATGGCACTGTAAACGGAACATGTGATAGTTCCAAAGCTGGGGTTGACAAACAGCTGAATGTCAGCTCTGGGCACGCAGCTGCACCAGGGTCTTGAACTGTCCCCAGAGCCAACAATCAGCTTATTGTCAGCTCCAATGCAGTCCCAGGACTGGAGTCTCAGGCTGGCCCTTGATGACAGTGGCTGGAGATAACAATCAGCTGATCGCTGGCCCAAGCCCTGGACCTGCAGGCACCCAGCTTTTAACTTGATGGTGCAGAGGAAGCCTGGGATCGTGATTTATTGGTAAATAGAAGGGGTTTGATTAGGATCTGATACCCAGTCCCAATATTGTGCTTCCTATCATGCATATGATGTAGCAGAAGGCATAACTATCGGTGACTTTAAATGAATTTGTGCCAGGGGCCTTACTATTGTTAGTAAATATATTCACAGTGGGACTACTCACACGTGTATAAATACTCACCACCATCAGTTAGGATTGCATAATCGAAGCCATAATTAAGTCCATCACTTCTAATGTAGAAATGTCCTTCACAGGAGAGATTCGGATCTTCTGTACAGTATTATTACTCAGACAGGGTTGTTGTTGGGGTTTTTTTTTCTTTTCTTTTTTAAATTCAAAGAATAACAGTAAAGATAACACTTCTGTAGAAGAGTATTAAGATTGATTTTATTTATCTGTAGACTGGTGGATTGTGATGAAACTGCTCCTGTCACTGCTCCTGTAACCACAAAAGTCCATGGAACGCAGAAGACCCTAGGACAAGCTCGAAGGGACTATGGATTTTGGTGTCCACGACACCTGCAGACCTCTAGTGGCCAAGGTTACAAGTTTTTAGGCATTGATCGGTGTGCACCGCCATGCCCCAATATGTACTTCAAAAATTATGAATTGGATGTTGCCAAAAGCTTCACTGGAATAGTTTCCATCTTTTGCCTGTGTGCTACTCTGTTTACATTCCTGACTTTTCTGATTGATGTTAAAAGATTCAGGTATCCAGAGAGACCAATCATATATTATTCAGTCTGTTACAGCATAGTGTCTCTAATGTATTT